ACATCAAAATTCATTTTATTCATTTCTAGAATCCATTTTATATTCTTTTTTTTTTTTTTTGTACATTCGAAAATACTCATTTCTTTCTCAAACGTGTTTTCTTTTTCGAAAATTTCGAAATAAATAGGATTTAACCATTTCTTTCTCGGCATTTCTTCTTCGAAATTTGAAAACAAATTTAATTCGTTCTTTTTTTATATTTTGTAATTCGAATTAATCTAACTCTTTTTCAACATTTCTTTTTCAACATTTCTTTTTCAAAACATTTCTACTTAAGTTTTTTATTTTTATTTTTATTTTTTTCGAAAATTTTGAAAATACGTGAGAATAAATTAAATTCTTTTTCGATATTTCTTTTGGAAATTCAAAAATAATTCTAATTAGTTCTTTTTCCCAGTATTTTAATTCACAATTTCTTTTCGCAATTTTTGTTGAAATTCAAAACTCTTTTTACAATTCGGAAGTACTTTTCTCGTAAAAATGTTATTCTAAACCCCTCAATTAATTTCGACTAAATTCAATTAATTCACGACTGAATTAATCTCTTTATTCGAAATTAATTATCCTTTTTCTGAAATGTCGACATTTTCCTTTTTGAAAAATTCTTGCCAAATATTTTAAAATTTTCCTCTTCCTATTTTTTATTTTTTTTTCAGAATTTTATTTATTTCTTCATTTTTCCCCGTAATTCGAAAATATTTTCTTTCGAAATTTCACATTTTCTTGTAAATAAATTTAAATCTAAATCAGAATTTAGTTTTTTGAAATTAATTAACTCTTTCTGTTCAGAATTTATTTTTTTGTAAATAAAATTTTGAAATAAATTTAAATCTAAATCAGAATTTTATTTTTGAATTTATTAATAAATAAATAAGGGATTCCCCCCCCACCCTCCACATGCCACCACGCCAAACCAAGAACTCCCAACGTGCYGCCGCCGCCRCCACCGCTGCTGCGGCATCCTCCACACCCGTTCAGGCCACGTCCTCCACCCCCTCTTCCCCTGACATGGCCGCATCCTCCATCAACATGTCTGACATCCGCACCGACTCAGTTGATAGCATCGCCCGCAACCTCGCAGGCGAACAACCA